CATTTTAAAATGAAATAAAAATAAAAAGATATCAATTCAAAAAACAATTAGCATTAATTCACTTATAATTCTCCATATTTCTTCAGAATACTCGTTTTTATCATTCTCTTTAATATATACAAGGATCTGGCAATTTTAACTTCATCTTCCATACTGTTCCACACTTTTATTCCCTGGATTAAAGTGGATCGCTCCGTCAGGCTCATACAAACCCAAGGTTTCACAAACATTTTTTCCCTTAAGATAATAACAGCTCTCTCTTTTAACAAAATTTACTTGAATGTTGGAAGGTAAGACACCTTTATGAGCTCTGTACATTAATAGTAAAATATTATAATCAACCAAATCAAAATTTTTTAATAATTTCAAATCATGAAACAATTTATTCGATGGATGGCTGTAATTTTTTCTAGTAATAATTCTTATAGCTCTTTTCTGTAAAATAAAAAATGGATTTGTGATAGTTTTACAAGTTTACCCCATACTTCAATACAGTAAATTAAATGAGGAACAATTATACAACATAAACAGTGCTTTATCATTGAACAGTTCTCTTACTTTGTACAGTACTCCAATTGATTTGGCTATTTTTGCTCTTAAACAATTTATATGATTTTTCCATGTCAGTTTTTCGTCAATAATGACACCTAGAAACTTCACTGAATACAGATCTCAACATCATCAATTTTAAATGAAACATCTATAGTTCTCTTATTGTTACAGAAAATCATATAATGTGTCTTGTCCAAGTTTAATGATAATTTATTAAGTTGAAACCAACCTTGTATTTTCATAAATTCTGTCTGTATCATGTCCAACATTTGTTCAATATCATTACCGGAACAAAAGAATGTTGTATCATCAGCAAATAGAACACACCCAAAAAGATCTGATACATTTACCAAATTGTTCACATACAAAATAAATAACTTAGGTCCGAGAATGGAACCCTGATGCACTCCACGTGAGATGTTACAATACTCAGATCTAACATTATTTATTTCTACAAATTGTTTTCTATTTTCAAAATAACTAGATACCCACTGTAATGCATGTCCTCTAATACCATATTTACTTAACTTTTCAAAAAGAATACTGACGCTTTTTTAAAATCAACAAAAATACTGACTGTTTTTGATCAACAGCAGTTGTTATATGTTCTATTACTTCAATGAGAGCCATCGATGTAGAATTTTTTTGTTCTAAACCCATACAGACTGTTACTTACATATTCTGCCTATCAATGAATTTGTCCAATCTAATCCCAAACAATTTCTCTAAAATCTTTGAAAATTGTGGTAACAGGGATATTGGTCTGTGGTTGCTAAAAACACGTCTTTCACCATTTTAAAAAAGTGGAACCTTTAAATAAAACCTTTAAGTAAAACCTTTGCTATTTTCATGTTGTTGAAAAAAACCAGTTGAAAATGATAAATTACAAATGAATGTAATCGGTTCAATCACAGAATTCATTATGTCTTTTACAAACATCAATACCATGTCAACCCAGTCTTTTGATCTCTTGTCTGCAAGATTCTTTACAATATTTGTAATTTCTTCTATTATTTTATTAATATTGTTAAATATGCCCTTACAGTGGCACTTAGACCCTCAATTGGAAATGTGTGCCATGCTGTTTAAACAAAACTGCTTGTGTAAGTGTGACACTCACAAGACAATCTGTAAGGAGGAACTGTTCTTTGGCACAAACCAGAAATGTGTCAGAYGTTCTTCTCCTTATTTTTAACAGGCCTCTTTAGTTTTGTGGTTCCTGCTGTTAATATTACTGCTGAGATGAGACCCTGGGGACAGATGGACAGAGTCTGTTAGCAYAGCAAAGCAATAGTTTATTGCATAGTTAAGAAATCTAATGAAAATATTTATCCATCCATCTATCCATTATTTTAGGCTGTTGGGTCATGGGGTCAGAAGCTAGAGCTGGGGTGGGGGGGGGGGCAGACCTTTCTTTCCCCAGCCACCTCTTCCAGCTCTTTGAGGATTCCAAGGCATTCCCAGGCCAGTCAAGAGACATAAGCCATGTTTCCATCAACATTTTTCATGCGCATTTTGAAGTGTTGTATTAGAAAAAGTTGATGGAAAATCTCCCTCAATTTCATGAAAAACTTTTTATGCTCGCTTGAGGTGGTTTTGGTGTTTTTTTGAAAAAAAGAGTTAATGTGCAAAAGGGGAGATGGAAACACATTTGAAGTAAAAGGTCTGACGTAGTGAGCATTTCCCTCAAAAAAAATGTTCAGCTGTTTTCACTTCAGCTTTTGCAAATTTGCCCTTTGCAGCTTGTCCTGCACAGCACCCATTCAGGATTTCCCAAATGYTAGTGTGTGTGCTCCTTTGGTGTCTCAGTTATCACATTTTTTTTATCTTCACAGGAGTATTTATTTTTTTACCTAGAAAGTATGTGCATAAACGGTTGTTTCCCATCCGTCTGAGAAACCACCAACACCTTTCAAAGACAGTTGTAATTGTGTCTGTGAACTTGCTTGTCCTTCAACATATTTTTTAAAAGAACAGGTTTGTTTGTTTTTTGGCTTTTGTCCACCTATGGAGCAACAGTGGTTCAAGAGGCAGGGAGTTTGTCCTGTAACCAGATCAGCTCTTTCATCTGAAATAGGTTACATTTGCTTTTCTGGGAACATGTGATCAATGGGAAGCTGTTTATGTCCATGTGTTTTTTCATAATGCAGCTTTTTATTTTTAATAAAATAAACAAACTGCTCTGATAACTGTAATTACTTATCTTCCACTTGTGCCTCATTATGTTTTTTCAGTCTTGTGTCTAAGTAACAAGAACATAAACGCTCAGTTTGTTTTTGTTACACACAAGTGAACATATATTACCCTGAAATCCATTTTTCTATCTAAGTAACGTGATGTGTAACATTGCCAGTAGCTGGATCTGCAGATCCAGTCTGGAGGTGTGGTCACAAGCTCATCAACTAAATGAGCACACCTGTTTCCCATCATTTTATCAATCGAGCACCACTCAAGAACTGTCTGTTTTCCCCACATTCATCAGATTGTTCAGTCACATTCAGTGGTTATGGCAATCTGCCTTTACAGTCCTAAGATGACCGACAGTATTGCTTTGCCTGATTGTTTCATTTCCTTGAAATACTTTGGTGTGTCCCTCCTGCCAAATGGAAACCATGTTTTATAGAAAATCTTCAGTCTTCTTTTATTGACTATTCTTCCAGACAGCTCTGTTGTCCACATCAAGAACAGATGGCTAAAATCAAAAACGTTTGCCTTACTGGAAAACATTTTTTGACCAACAAAATGCACAAGTTGTGTTTTGTCTCTTTATGGAAATTGGAACAGCTACTGCAGTAATTTAAACATTTGCTATGAAATACTTGATGCTGGTATTTACATTATAAGCTGCTCTTCCTACAATGTGTTCTTCACCTAAAGAAAATGTCAATAATAACATCTAAGGGAGAAAAGGGAATTTGATGGTTTTTATACCTCATAAGATCCTGTCAAAACTTTGACTTTCTGTCTAGAATTTTTGCCTTTTAGTTAGGGATGGAAACTAAGATCCAKTAAAAATGAATGTTACATTTATTTCATATTAAAAGAAAACTTAGTTCACGTTTATGYGTGACTGGAGAAATTCCAATTCGTCAGCGCTACACTGAAACTAAACTAAACTGTTTGAGGATCCAAATACAGACTTAAGAAGGGATTTACTGTGTGATTAATGTAATCCTCTTAAGACACATGTGAAGAGACAGTGACATGAGTATTTGAAAAATTAACAATGCAAACAGTGACAGTAAACACACAGGGAGGTGACAAAATATAAAATACAAGTTTGCTAATTACAAAACAGGATCAAATTCATCAAAAGTCTAGGAAGGCAAGACTTAAAGGAATGATCACATCAGAAAACAAAATGAAAGTGATAATAACAAGATAATACAGTGACATCCACCACTATGCTTCACAGTTAGTATTATTGGGCACCACAGAGTATTAGGCATTTATGCAGATAATGCTCTGTCTCTTGTAAAATATGACACTTTGCGTTACAGCCAAACACTTTTCTGGTTTTATATACGAGACTTTTGATATCAAATTTCTCTTGACTCCCCATCCAAACGAGTACTTTTTCAATCCTTTTTTATGATGTATAATCATAAACTTTAACAACCAAGCCTGTAAAATTTTTAGAKTTATGTTTTGGAATCTTCACCATTTTACACATTCTGAAATCTCTGCAACATCCATACAACCGTTGTCTTCAGCTTTTCAATGCAGGGTCACAGAGAGCAACCAGTTGCACAACACTGCCTGCACTAAGGGAGAATGAAAGGTGGCACAAGTGTACACAAACATGACAACTGGTCTAAATCATACAGAAAACACTAATGAAAAAGTATCTGGACTTAAAATGAAAATGTCACAAAAACACAGAAAAACTGGAATATGAAGAAACTAATTAATAAACTCAAAGAACTGCTGAAGTAAGCAAACTAAAACACAGATCATGACATTTCTTTATGGGTACACAAATGGTATCAGAATCAATGCTCAATATTATGTAATATTATTGTATATATTATATTATGTCTTTCTTTTCATCACCTAATTGCTCAAACATGTCAAAACATCTGGTTCTAAGTCGCAGTTGAGTCCTTTATTAAGAACATCTTTTAAGAGGCACCAGCGTCAACTCACTCTGAATTCACGTGGAAGCTATAAGGATGTCCTGAAATTTTCACAAACCATCATCACATTTTCTGTTTGTTAAATAATACATGCATCAATGTTCATCTGATTTTTATGCATTTCAATAACACAGTGGTTATACAGTAAAATCTTAGAAATAAATATATACATGGTGGACTTAATGTTTGCCATTTTATTTACATCAGAAAGGCGTAACTATGTGAAGGACAGTCTTATGTAAAATATGTGAGCCAGTCATCACTTACAGTCCATGCTGACTGGGGAGTAAACTAGCCTGCCTTTTTCAGTTGACATCACACTAATTGCAGCTTACTCGAAAAGAGGGAGTCAGAGACAGGCAGTGGAGTAAGACAGTTACCTCGTAACAGGAAAGCAGAACATCTGGAAAATTCACATCTGGACACGCTCAAGAAAAATGACTCTTCAGCCAACAAGGTATAATCTTGTTTATTTGAAATATTTCATTTTAACATGAAGTACACATTTTTCTTTTAAGTTAGAAGTTATAGTAAAACTAATTTTACAGTTTGTTACAAGTCACTGTTTGATAAAAATATGTTTACTTGCATCAAAAACTACTTTAAATGTTTTTGTGAAATTTAAGATTATCTTTTATCAAAAAAAAACTTTGTGAAATGAATCTACATAGATGAAAAACCTAACCCTTTTACTTCTAAAACACRTTTTTGAACTTTCACACATTTTTATAGGGATGCTCCTTTTTTACCTTTCTGTCAATAGTTTGTTATTTAAAGAATGTATTCAGAACTTTATTAATAGGTTTATAATATAAACACATCTAATTTACATTGTGTAATGTGTCATGTGAGCTCAGGCCTGGTCTAAGTGTGATAGATGAACTGATGAGATTTTTTTTAAATGCCAACCTTTTATAAACTAGAAAGCAGAAATTGTAACAGGAACTTCTGCAATTTTGTTAAAAACAATGAAACTAAAATCTTTACTTTGTAACAGAAACAGTAAACATATTGCTCTGAAACTGCTTCAGTTATTGATTATCTTCCTTAAATCCTTAAATATATTAAAAGGTTTAAACAGAAAGATGTCTGAAATTGTTCACCCACACACACACACACACACACACACACAC